TGTGTGTGTGTGTGTGTGTGTGTGTGTGTGTGTGTGTGTGTGTGTGTGTGTCTGCGTGCGTGTGTGGTGTATGTTAGTGTGTTGGAGTGTGGGATGGAGGCGGGGCGGTGTGGGTGTGTATGTGTGTATTTGTGTGTGTTTGCGTGTGTGTTTGTGTGTGTGTGTTTGTGAGTACGTGTTTGTGTTTTGGGGAGTGGGTGGAGCCAGGGCGGTGTGGGTAATTGATAGGGTCGCGATATACCAGCACAAGGTGTAACCACACAAGATAAGTGGACATTGAATATGTATATAATTTACCTATTCGCACCTGCCTAGTGTTTACTTTCAATTAACACTTTCTCGAATAGCCTCTCTGAGGCTGAAGAAGTGCTCAGGACGGTGACTGCTAACTGTATTTCCTCAGAAAAAGCAAGCGTTATCACCCAAACCTGAAACAATTGTTGACCGAACGTGCATCTGCCGAACAAGCAACCCTCTGTTTAAGGAATACACACATGAAGGGCATAAGGGAAAAACAAAACATGTAACTTTTTTGACATTTTGAGACAACTTATTTTTCTTTTAGTTTTAGTAAGAGTTTTACGGCACTTGCAACACAAAAAGGTCACATATAACTCCCGAAGATTAGAGGTGTTACAAGAGAGTAACAAACACGAAAAAGAAAGTGAGAGCAGGAAGATGGATGTTTGACAGGACAGAAAGAGCAAACCACCTCAAAACAGCCGCCAACCACCCACTAGTATCTCTGTCTGTCAGCCGGGGTGTTTTATCCCCGGGTTTACCCTTACACATGTAGAACTGAAGCAGCCCAGTTTCTGTTTGACCTAGATTGTGTCGATGGGGGTATAAAACATCTACCAGAATTATTTCTTATTCTGTTTCATTTCGCACATTCTTCGTTCCTTATTCAAGCCACAAAGACAGTACGCCTCATCATTACCGAATACATGTTGTTTGAAGTAGGGGCTCTGGACTCCTACTACCCCCCTCACCCCCAGCCCCATCCCCCTCCCACCCCCC